ATCGAAAGATATATAGGTACTTTGGTGCACCATTTACATGAAATCGGACGAAACTATATATGGGAGCTATATCTAAATCTGAACCGATTTTCACGAAACTTGGCACACATCTTTCGTGGCTCAATTCAGTACGCTATGCCAAATTTCGTGCAAATCGAAAGATTTTCAGGGTCTAAAGTCCGTAAATCGGGCAAAAATATATATGGGAGCTATATCTAAATCTGAACCGATTTTTCCCAATTTCAATAGGGTTAGTCCTTGGGCCAAACAAATGAGCTGTGGCAAATTTCCTCCAAATCGGATCATAAATGCGACCTGTACTTTGTTTACAATTTAACATGGACAGACGGACAGACGGACGGACATGCATAAATCGATTCAGAAAGTGATTCTATGCATATTCTCAAAAGGAACCATGGGTCTATCTCGATTATTTTTGCCTGTTACAAACATATGCACAAAGACATAATACCCTGTACCACAGTGTGGTGAAGGGTATAAAAAATATTCTTAAAAAAATCCACGCCTATGTCGACTACTCAAAAAAATATTTTTAAACTAGTGAGCGGAGCAGTATAGTCGGACGCGGCCGACCGTATGATACTCTACACAACTTCCATGAACATCTGACTTTATGTGGTACTACATTCTCAGCTTCCAATATTTCAATATATTTCGCAATGTTTGCACCCTCTTGACCCACTAGAGGTGAACAAATATAACTAATATTCAGTACAGTCGTTCTTAGTAATTGTTCAAATTCCCTTCAGCGTGGCTTGTGTTGTAATGTTCGGCTTTCAATTGTGGCCTGTAGATCGACACGAAAAAAACCAGTAAGGAAAGTAGTAAAGTTGGAGGGAGCCGACTATATGATACCCTTCACCACTTTGGGTATATTCAACAAATGAATCCTAACAGACGTCGCATTTTTAAAGGACCAGCTGTACTGAATTTCGTGCAAACCGAAAAATATTAAAGAGACTTTGGTAATTGTAAACTCTTTAATGTTTTTTTCGGGTTATCGTTAAAGATAGAGGCCTCTCTATGATTTTGACGTGAAGTATTCTTCATTTAAAACTATTTTCAAACAACCAAATACGCACACACACATATACAGTGTATGTGCGACCTTTGTGGTATGAAGGTCAAACTCTTAAATTGTTGTTGACAGCTTCCAAACCACCGCACAACATTTACATTAAATCGGACGAAAATATAGGAGCTATATCTAAATCTGGACCGATTTTCATGAAACTTAACACACATCATTCTCGACCTAATTCATTACCATATGCCAAATTTCGTGCAAATCGAGAGATATATAAGGACTTTTTGCATCATTTACACAAAATCGGACGAAACTATATAAATGGGAGTCTAAATCTGAACCGATTTTCAGGAAACTTAACACACATCATTCTCGGCCTAATTCATTACGCTGTGCCAAATTTCGTGCAAATCGAAAGATATATAGGGACTTTGGTGCACTATTTACCTAAAATCGGACGAAAATATATATGGGAGCTATTCTAAATCTGAACCGGTTTTCAGGAAACTTAACACATATCATTCTAGACCTAATTCATTACCCTATGCCAAATTTCATGCAAATCGAAAGATATATAGGGACTTTGGTGCATCATTTACACAAAATGGGACGAAACTATATATGGGACCTATATCTAAATCTGAACCGATTTTCCGGAAACTTAACACACATCAAACTGGACCTAATTCATTACGCTATGCTAAATTTCGTGCAAATCGAAAGATATATAGGGACTTTGGTGCACCATTAACATTAAATCGGACGAAAATATATATTGGAACTATATCTAAATCCGAACCGATTTTTCCCAAGGACGAACCCTATTGTCCTTGGGCCAAATAAGTGACTCATGCCATTCATTGGCCAGAACCCTTCCTACATGCACTTCCTGTGGCCTGCATCGTGTTTACAAATTATAATGGACAGACGGACGGACACATATGTCTAGATTGACTCAGCTAGTACCAATATTTCGCGGCGTGACGAACTCTTGGGGCTGCACAAAGCTATAATACCCTGACAACTTAATTGTGTAGGGTATAAAAAGGCCACGCCTCTAGTAATGGCTCAAATATACTCTAAAATACATTCTTTAAAACATCCAAAAATTTTGAACCCTAAAAAAATCCACGCCTCTTGTAAAGCTCTAAAAAATCCACGCTCCTTGGAGAGCGCTAAACAAATCCACACCCCTTGGATAGCCCCAAAAAAATAATCCACCCCTCTTGAATAGCCCTAAAAAAATCGACGGCTCTTGTAGAGCCCTAAAAAATAAAAAATCCATGCCTCTTGAAGAGCCCTAAAAAATAAAAAAATCCATGCTTCTTGAAGAGCCCTAAAAAAATCTACGCCCTTTGTAGAGCCCTAAAAAATCCACTCCTCTTGTAGAGACCTAAAAAAACCAACGCCCCTTGTAGAGCCCTAAAAAATCCACGCCTCTTGTAGACCCCTAAAAAACTCCACGCCCTTGTAGAGCCCTAAAAAATCCTCTTGTAGAGCCAAACAAAAATACACGCCTCTTGTAAACGCCTAACAATAAAAAATCCACGCCTCCTATAAAGCCCTAAAAAATAAAAAATCCACGCCTCTTGTAGAGTCCTAAAAAATAAAAAATCCACGCCTCCATAGAAATCTAGGCCTCTTATAGAGCCCTTCAAAATATTTTTTATAAAATCCACGCCTCCATAGAAATCTAGGCCTCTTATAGAGCCCTTCAAAATATTTTTTATAAAATCCACGCCTCCATAGAAATCTAGGCCTCTTATAGAGCCCTTCAAAATATTTTTTATAAAATCCACGCCTCCATAGAAATCTAGGCCTCTTATAGAGCCCTTCAAAATATTTTTTATAAAATCCACGCCTCCATAGAAATCTACGCCTCTTATAGAGCCTTTAAAAGTAATCTTTAAAGAATCCACGCCTCTTATAGAGCCCTTAAAAGTAATCTTTAAAAAATCCACGCCTCTTATAGAGCCCTTAAAAGTAATCTTTAAAAAATCCACGCCTCTTATAGAGCCCTTAAAAATATTCTTTAAAAAATCCACGCCTCTTATAGAGCCCTTAAAAGTAATGTTTAAAAAATCCACGCCTCTTATAGAGCCGTTCAAAATATTATTTAAACCAGTAAGGAAATCAGTAAAGTCGGACGGGGCCGACTATATGATACCCTTCACCACTATGGGTATATTAAACAGGACTATTAACATGAAATTGGATGAAATAAAATATGTGATATTTATCTAAATGTGAATCTACCTAGATCTGTCCATAAATTATGTAAATCGACTTCAAACAAATATAAATAGGTCATCCGTTGGGCTATGCCTGTACTTTTAGAAAACGCAACTACGTAATTCTATGCTCAATTTTGTACGTTGTGCAAAATTTGATGTCAATCTGACTAACATGAGGAGTTTGATTACTTGAAATCGGGCGAAAATATATATGGAAGCTCTATCCAAATATTAAGCGATTTCAAACACACTTGTCACAGGTTAGGTTATACTAATTTTAGAACGTTTTGTTCCTATTGGTTTCTTGGTGCGTAAATTACTTAAAATCAATCTATAAGGCAGACATCACTCTAGGCTAAATTCAAGACGTTATGCCAAATTTCGTGCAAATCGAAGGATATATAGGGACTTTGGGACACCATTTACATGAAATCGGACGAAACTATATATGGGAACTATATCTAAATCTGGACCGATTTTCACTAAACTTGGCAGGCATCATTCTAGGCTCAATTCAGTACGTTATGCCAAATTTCGTGCAAATCGAAAGATATATTGGGACTTTGGTGCACCATTTACATGAAATCGGTCAAAACTATATATGGGAGCTAGACTTAATTCAGTACGTTATGCCAAATTTCGTGCAAATCGAAGGATATATAGGGACCTTGGTGCACCATTTACATGAAATCGGACGAAACTATATATGGGAGCTATATCTAAATCTGGACCGATTTTCACGAAACTTGGCAGGCATCATTCTATGCTCAATTCAGTACGTTATGCCAAATTTCGTGCAAATCGAAAGATATATAGGGACTTTGGGGCACCATTTACATGAAATCGGACGAAACTATATATGGGAGCTATATTTTCTATAAATTCAGTACGTTATGCCAAATTTCGTGCAAATCGAAGGATATATAGGGACTTTGGGGCACCATTTACATGAAATCGGACGAAACTATATATGGGAGCTATATCTAAATCTGGACCGATTTTCACTAAACTTGGCAGGCATCATTCTAGGCTCAATTCAGTACGTTATGCCAAATTTCGTGCAAATCGAAAGATATATAGGGACTTTGGGGCACCATTTACATGAAATCGGACGAAACTATATATGGGAGCTATATCTAAATCTGGACTGATTTTCTCGACAGTTGGCAGACATCTCTCTAGGCTTAATTCATTACGTTATGCCAAATTTTGTAATCGAAGGATATATAGGGACTTTGGGGCACCATTTACATGAAATCGGACGAAACTATATATGGGAGCTATATCTAAATCTGGACCGATTTTCACGAAATTTGGCAGGCATCATTCTAGACCTAAATGATTAGGCTGTACCAAATTTCGTGCAAATCGAAAGATATATAGGGACCGTTTACATTAAATCGGTTAAATATATATGGGAGCTATATCTAAATCTGAACCGATTTTTCCCAATTTCAATAGGGTTCGTTTGTGTTTAAATTTCTTTTCACGGTCACTTAATGCCTCCAATACCCAGTCCTGGTCTTGTAAGTTTAATACCTATTACCTGGTATTTGTTACTTGCTTGACTCCGTCCCCACCTTCATCTGCTGCCCTTTTCTTTTGTTAAGCAGATTTAAATGTTTTTGACTTTACGACTGACTGTCGGCAAGGTATTTGCCAGGAATTTCCCCCCTACCCTTGCCCTTCGTACGGAATTTCCATACTGATTTTCCATGCTACTTACCCAAATACTGTTCGCCCCTGACAACGTAGCGATCATGCTGATGCTGCTGCTGTTGAGTATTCCACAAGGTGGCCGAGGAACCTCCACCCAGGTACATGTTGTTGTTATTGTTGTTGCCATTCTGTTGCGGTAAATCCATTTTTGATTTTGTTCTTTGCAATTTATGATTGTAGTTGTTGTTATTGTTGTTGCCATTCTTATTATTGTTATTATTTTGTTGATAGTTATAACGTTGTTCTATACCAGGGAGAGGAAAAATAGGAGAACAAGGTAAGTATCGTGTGTGTGTGTGTGAGTAAGAAAAAGTTTCATATATATAAATAGAAGTTATTTAATACTTAAATACTATTAGCTGGCTAGCTAGCCGGGTGAAAGAAAGTCATTTGGAAAAATAAAAATTGAGCAAAAGGTATTTTGCATAAATATTTTTTTTTTTCTCGGAGGGGGAAATTGGGGTTTGGCAAGGACATTAAGGGGCCCAAAACTTTTCTAACGAGAGTAGAAAATTTTTGTTATGGTTATATATCAACCGAAAATGTCCCATATATGTTACAACTTGCATAGATTTATGTAAATAGTTTCAGAAAAGAAAAATGAAAAAAAAAAATCTGAAAAAAAAACTAAGCAAATCTGAAATAAAGTCATCATAAGGAATGGCTGGATGCTGAGGTGCTGGGAATGGCAGGATGGAAGGGCAGGGAAGGGAGGAGAAGAGAACCAATCTAAGTTTTTCTCTTTTTTATATTGTCATGCATTCATTTTAAGTCCAACACAACTACATGCATACATTCACACATACATAGATACATACCTTTGTGGTATTTGGTTACCAGCATTGGTACCGTATTCGTTGAAACCGTAGGGGCTAACGTTGTCACAGTTGTGGTTTGTGGAATGTCTAAACGAGATAACCAGAAACAAAAGGCATGAGAAGAAGTGTGCGGAACCATAGAGAGAGAGAGCGGGGAAGTTGAGAAGTGATATGGCAATATGGCAAGTATTAGCATTTTCATTTCGATTTGAATTTGTTTCGTTCTTGTTATTTTCTATTGTATTGCACACAAACACACACACACTACCAAAAGGACATGCAACAGTTAACATGGGGTTGGGCGGAGGTCTAGGCTAGGCTATGGATGGTTTGAAAGGTAAGAATTTGCTTAAAATAATATTTAAATTTCAATGGCCAAAAGGTGGGAAGTAACTATACAGAGAGAAGAAAAAAAATATTTAAAAAATCAACGATTTCCACTAAGGAAAGTAGTAAAGTCGGACTATATGATACCCTTCACCACTTTGGGTATATTCTACATATTGCTCATTTGCTGCTAGAGAGGCATAACTGAAAAAAAAGTGATTTTCGAGTTAATGATGTACGATTGTTCGCTATTATAGCGAACTTCATGTTGTGTAAAAATTTCATATGAATATCTCTTACAAACTCTAATTGAGAAGCTGTAGAAGTTCCTCTGTCCCATATAAAGTGTGAGTAAATTGAAAACTTAAACATTTTCTGCAAAATCGGGTTTTTTGAGTTAACCTGTCTTGCAGCAAACGAGCGATATGTCTCCTAACAGACTTCGCCTTTTCGAAAAAATCATTGACATGACATTGTACAAACTTGGATATGCGATCTGGAACCTATGCTAAATTTCATTTAATTCGGGCAAGTTTAGAGTCGTTTTCGTAAAATGGGACAAATTTATGTAAATCGATTTTTTACGTAAATTTAATCTCAATCAGATATGCGGATATGCTAGATACTTTGGTGAACATTTTAAATCGGACGAAAATATGTATGGGAGCTACACCTAATTCTGAACCGATTTTCCTGAATTTTAGCATACATCATTCTACACCCAATTTAGTACCCTATGCCAAATTTCGTGCAAATCGAAAGATATATAGGGGTGTTGGTGCACCATTTACATAAAATCAGACGAAACTATATATGGGAGCTATATCTAAATCTGGACCGATTTTCACGAAACTTGGCAGACATCTCTCTAGGCTCAATTCAGTACGCTATGCGAAATTTCATGCAAATCGAGTGATATATAGGGACGATGGTGCACTATTTACATAAAATCGGACGAAAATATATATGGAAGATATATCTAAATATATACCGATTTTCAGGAAACTTAACACACATCATTCTAGACCTAATTTAGTACGCTGTGCCAAATTTCGTGCAAATTGAAATATATATATAGACATTGGTGCACCATTTAGCTTAAATCGGACGAAAATATAATTTGGGGCTATATCTAAATCTGAACCGATTTTCACGAAAATTGGCAGACATCATTCTAGGCTCAAGTCAGTACGTTATGCGAAATTTCGTGCAAATGGAAATATATATAGGGGCTTCGGTGCATTATATACATAAAATTGGACGAAATTATGTATGGGAGCTATATCTAAATCTGAACCAATTTTCACGAAATTTGGAAGATATCACTCTAGGCTCATTTCAGTACGTTATACCAATTTTCGTGCAAATCGTAAGATATATAGGGGCGTTGGTGCACCAATTACCTAAAATCGGACGAAACTATATGTGGTAGCTATATCTAAATCTGAACCGATTTTCTCGAAACTTAGCACACATCATTCTGCACCCAATTCAGTACCCCTTGCCAAATTTCGTGTACATCGGAAGATATATAGGGGCGTTTGTGACCATTTACATTAAATCGGACCAAAATATGTATGGAAGCTATATGTAAATTTGGACCGATTTTCACGAAACTTGGCAGACATCACTCTAGGCTCAATTCAGTACGCTATGCCAAATTTCGTGCAAATCGAAAGATATATAGGGACCTTGGTGCATTATATACATATAATTGGACGAAAATATATATAGGAGCAATATCAAAATCTAGACCGATTTTCACGAAACTTAGTACACATCATTCTAGGCTTAATTCAGTTCGCTGTGCCAAATCGAGGGATATAAAGGGTATTTGGTGCACCATTGACATAAAATCGGACGAAACTATATATGGGAGCTATATCTAAATCTGGACCGATTTTCACGAATCTTAGCTCACATCATTCTAGGCTTAACTCAGTACGCTGTACCAAATTTCGTGCAAATCGAAAGATATATAATGACTTTGGTGCACCATTTACATAATATCGGACGAAAATATATATGGGAGCTATATCTAAATCTGAACCGATTTTTACGATCCTTAGCATACATCATTCTAGGCTTAATTCCGAAAGCTGTGCCAAATTTCGTGCAAATCGAAAGACCATTTCATAAAATCCGACGAAACTATATATGAGAGCTATATCTAAATCCGGACCGATTTGCACGAAACTTTTCAGATATCAGTTGTGCCAAATTTCGTCCAAATGAAAGGATATAAAGGGGCTTTGGTGCACCATTTTCATAAAATCCGACGAAAATATATATGCGAGCTATACCTAAATCTGAACCGATTTTTCTCAAATTCAATAGGATTCGTCCTTGGGTCAAATAAGTGGCCTATGCCAAATTTCATCCAATTCGGATTATAAATGCGACCTGTACTTTGTTTAGAATTTTACACCAACAGACATACGGACATGCATAAATCGACTCCGAAAGTGATTCTATTCGTATTCTCAACAGGAACTATGGGTCTATCTCGTTTTTTTAAAAACCAGTGAGCGGAGCAGTATAGACGGACGGGGCCGACCATACGATTCCCTACACAACTACCACAGAACTCTATCTTTTGGCGGATTTTTATTCCGAGCCTGTGTAATATTTCGTGATAGTTGCACCCGATTAGAGGTCAACAGCACCTCTTCCTTACTCTGACATATTTTCCGAATATTACCAATATTCGGTACAGTTCTTCTAATTACTTGTGCAAATTCCCTTCATCGTGGGCTGTGTTGTGATGTTCGGCTTATAATTGTAGCCTATAGATCGAATCGACAAAAAACACAAACAAATTAGGTTTTCGGTCCACTTCATCCCAAAATTATTATCTGATCATCACCAAGAATTATAGGCGTTGTCCTTAACCATAACTGGTACCTAAAGGAACATTTCAAAGCGATAATTTGTATCAATTTAAAGGTCAACCGCTCCTCTCTGATATACTGTCAACTTCTTGCCTATATGTCCTTCAGAACTAAATATATACGCTATAGAATACAAATTTTGTAATTTTTCACACAAAAGTCAGGGTCCATTTGACACGCTAAATATTGACCAATATTTATCAAAACAGGCATACTTGTTCTCTGGCCCAATCCCCTTCTCCATGCAAAATTTCCCGATGTTCGGGCAATTATTGCGGCCTGTGGAGCGACCAGAAAAACCGACAAAAATTTAGTATTTGGTCCATTTCATCCCCTAAATGTTAATCGAATTTTCCCAAAAACAATAGGGGTCTTCATTGGCCAGAACCCATCCTACATGCAAAATTTCGTGAAGATAGGTCAATAATTGTGACCTGTATCGTGTTTACAAATTATAATGGACAGACGGACACACATGTCTAGATCGACTCAGTTAGTCGAGATATTACCGGTATACTTAAAGGTGGGTCTAGGATCAATATTTCGCGGCGTTACAAACTTTTGGGGCTGCACAAAGCTATAATACCCTGGCAACATAGTTGTGTAGGGTATAAATACATGGATATAAGGTATAAATATGGACTCAAGAAAAAAATATTTAAAAAATCCTCGCCTTATGTAGAGTCGAGAAAAAATATTTAAAAATGCCAGGCCAGAAAAAAAATATTTATTTAGAAGTAGACCCTGAATCTTTACTTCCGTTCAATTATAAAAAAAACAACAGTTTAATTATTCACTGGGGTGGGGAGCACCATGCCAACGTGCCGCGTTGTGTTTCAATTAAGTTCAGTGACTCACATGGAGAAAACTTTAATTGCATAGACAGACAGACAGATAGATTCACTCACGTATGAGGTATGGACCGTGATGAAACAGTAACAACAATTCCATATTATTTTTCTTCTCCTTTTTGTGTTATCTCTTCTTCATTGACTTTCATCCCCACCCTTGACTGGCATCAGATGAAAGTGTTGTATCTACTTCATGCCTTGATAGTTTTGCAAAGGATTGTTCATCATCAACATTTATTCGCATCAAGCTGGTAGGACAGGTTGTATGCCTATCATATCATGTGGTATTATCCTATACACATACATATGTGTATGTGTGTAACACACATATGTATATATATATATACATATATATGACTACTGCACTGCCATACATCTTATCTGTATGCACAGGCCAGCCGAAGCTACAATTGATGGCTATGACGATTACGAGAGAAGCTCTGTCGGGGAGATGTGGTGGTGTTCGACCAGAGCCCAAAGGTGGGTGTCTTGATTTAATTTCCTGCCGGTAAAAAGGTTTTTCTTTTCACTCTTTCTTTCATTTAAAAGGCTGGCGTGACACGATGACATGCCAAGGGGCGTTGATAATTCCTCCTCATTGTCTTGCCCCGTTGTCACTCACACATACAACGAGACACACACGGTAAAAACAATATTTAATTATTTATTGTAATTTTATTTGAAACGTCCGTTCCAAATGGCCGACAATTACAGAAAATTGTTATGAATGACATGTTAACCTTTAAGGAAACAAAGGCATCATCATCATCAACGTCGACATCATAAAAGGGAAACGGAAACCACAATAAAATGAGCAAAAAAGAAAACTACATATGTGTGATTGTATGTGTGAGTGTGGTAGGCCTTTTGAGAATGACAAACTTGCAAAAAAACCAGGAAAACAGAGAAATGAAAACGAAAAGGCTAAAGTGGAACGGAAAACTGTGGACAATTAAATATTCACATATATTTACACCAAGATCCCTTCAAAGTAGGGACTAAAGGGAAAGAAGAAGACAGTGGATCATCAATAGGCATGGATTTTTTAACAATATTTTTTTATTGGCCTACTAGAGGCGTAGATTTTTAAAAAAATAATTTGGATTTTTCAAAAATAATTTTTCAAGGATCCATACAAGGCGTGGATTTTTTAAAAATATTTGTTCAAGCACCTAGTTGTGAATCTGTTTAAGAATATTGTTCCACTGTCCCCATCACCACTTCTTGTTGACAATTATGGAAATGTTTTTAAAAACCCGTTTTTTAACCATTCATTTCCCGTTTTTATTAAGTCAGTAATTAATTGAATATTATTATGACCTAAATTGTCAGGGGTCCCATCGAGAAAATTTATACAATCTCAATTTGATATTTTATTCATGACAACATTCAGTTCAAATTCTTCTTCTACCCGAGCTCCCAATGGATGTTGTGGTTGTTGTGGAAATTAAATTAATTGCAAAAAATTTTAATGAGACCATTTAAATGTATGACCAACAAAGAAGAAGAAGAAATAATTTTGTCATGTGTGGTTATATACATATGTATAATATATAAATATATATTTATTGCACACATGTAACATATTTATACTCTATACAAGGAGTGGATTTTTAAAATAATTTTTTCCCGACTCTATAGAAAGCGTGGATTTTTAAAATAGTTTTTTCCCGACTCTATAGAAAGCGTGGATTTTTAAAATAATTTTTTCCCGACTCTATACAAGGCGTGCACTTTTTAAAATAATTTTTTCCCGACTCTATACAAGGCGTGGATTTTTAAAATAATTTTTTCCCGACTCTATACAAGGCGTGGATTTTTAAAATAATTTTTCCCGACTCTATACAATGCGTGGATTTTTAAAATAATTTTTTCCCGACTCTATACAAGGCGTGGATTTTTAAAATAATTTTTTCCCGACTCTATACAAGGCGTGGATTTTTAAAATAATTTTTTCCCGACTCTATACAAGGCGTGGATTTTTAAAATAATTTTTTCCCGACTCTATACAAGGCGTGGATTTTTAAAATAATTTTTTTCCCGACTCTATACAAGGCGTGGATTTTTAAAATAATTTTTTCCTGACTCTATACAAGGCGTGGATTTTTAAAATAATTTTTTCCCGACTCTATACAAGGCGTGGATTTTTAAAATAATTTTTTCCCGACTCTATACAAGGCGTGAATTTTTAAAATAATTTTTTCCCGACTCTATACAAGGCGTGCAATTTTTAAAATAATCTTTTCCCGACTCTATACAAGGCGTGGATTTTTAAAATAATTTTTTCCCGACTCTATACAAGGCGTGGATTTTTAAAATAATTTTTTCCTAACTCTATACAAGGCGTGGATTTTTAAAATAATTTTTTCCCGACTCTATACAAGGCGTGGATTTTTAAAATAATTTTTTCCCGACTCTATGCAAGGCGTGGATTTTTTAAAATAATTTCTTTCCCCACTCTATACAAGGCGGGGATTTTTAAAATAATTTTTTTCCCGACTCTATGCAAGGCGTGGATTTTTTAAAATAATTTTTTCCCGACTCTATACAAGGCGTAGATTTTTTAAATAATTTTTTCCCGACTCTATACAAGGCGTGGATTTTTAAACTAATTTTTTCCGACTCTATACAAGGCGTGGATTTTTAAAATAATTTTTTTCCCGACTCTATACAAGGCGTGGATTTTTAAAATAATTTTTTCCCAACTCTATACAAGGCGTGGATTTTTAAAATAATTTTCTCCCGACTCTATACAAGGCGTTGATTTTTAAAATAATTTTTTTTAAAGGCCCATTAAGGGTTCACAGAAGGCCTGGATTTTTAAAATTATTTTTTCCCGACTCTATGCAAGGCGAGGATTTTTCAAAAATAATTTTTTCCGACTCTATACAAGGCGTGGATTTTTAAAATATTTTTTTCTCGACTTTATATAAGGCGTGGATTTTTAAAATATTTTTTTCTCGACTTTATATAAGGCGTGGATTTTTAAAATATTTTTTTCTCGACTTTATATAAGGCGTAGATTTTTAAAATATTTTTTTCCCGACTCTATACAAGTCGTGGATTTTTAGAATAATTTTTTTCTCGACTTTATCCACGCCTCTTATGGACCTCAAAAAATTTTTTTTTAAAAAATACTCGTCTTGTAGAGAACCCTGAATACCCCTCTAATGCTCTCCCCTAATTAACTTATTGTAGATTTTGTGGCTTACCCTATCTGTGTGTAAATTATAAGTTTTGTGGTTACAGCAATTTGTCGTTTTTATCGCCCGCCCCTTTACCCTCGCTTAACATTTAATGAACCTCATCAATTACTCATCATCCACTTGGTGTTGTTGTTGTTGGTCCGACGTGGCTTTTCTCGTTCAATGTCATGTCTTTGGTAATCATTTCCAGCCAGCCTGCCTACCTTCCTCCATCCATCCATCCACTTCCATTCCCGCTGTGTCACTGTGTGCTTGCATTCGATGTGTGTGTGTGTATGTGGCTGTGCATATTCAGTTATTATCTCTGTGTATTAATACTTACGATAAAGTTTAATTGCACCATCCGTATCGCCCAATGAATTTTTGGCAACACACCGATATGACCCAAAGTCCTGTGCGTCAACATCATTTATGGTCAAACGCATTGTGATTTTATAGCCACTCTCATGTGTGTCCGGTACAAAACGTTCACCTGCAATGATAAAGAGGAAAAGAGAAGGATTAGAGAGAGAGAGAGAGAAAGGGGGCGACATTTTAAAATCGATTGGAGTGAAAGTTATATTTCTGCTTTGGAAAGGAGATGGATAGGGAGGAGGGATGTTTGTGTATGTGTGAGGACAAAAAGTTTGTGTTGTTATTGTAGAAAGTTTATTTTTTGGGGTTTTGGAAATTAATGTGTGTATGTGTGAGTGTACTATATCATTTTGGGGAGTCATTAGAGTCACTTTAATAACATTAATGTTAGCCTGCAAAGCAAATAGAAGGTAAATTATTGTTGATGGAATACTTTTTGGGTTGGTGTGGTTGGGTTATCTGTCCCGGTGTCACCACCGTGTGTTTAATTTCTGAACTTTTTTTCAGGAGTCTTTACTTCATCCAAATTGTCTGGTTACTAAAATTTTGAAACAAATATTTATAAAAAAAAGTGTTGAGGATTATTTCTTTTTTATTTGGTTTTTGAAAACCCAACAAAGTTTACCCAAAGCATTAACAAACTTTTAATGGACTAATTTAAATTATTAAATAATTAGAATGAAATATACTTCAGCAACAAAAGGTGTGTGCGGCAGATGGCACCTGCAGGTGGGTTTTTAATTTTTTTCCAAGCCAGATAACTTTTTATTTTTGCTTATCTGTTTACGGGAGATTATTGAATTATGGGAAAGGTTGGGGTTTGGAAATTTTTCATTGTACTAAATTGTGGTGGGTTCGCAAGAAAGGGTAATATATTCCCACACGATTTTTATTTCTTATTTGTGTGTGGTAATACACGTGTTTTCTACCTCTGTATATAAACCGTGAATGGATTTTAAAAAGAATTTTTTCTGGCCTCTATATGAGGCGTGGATTATTTAAATAATTTTTTCTGGCCTCTATATGGGGCGTGTATTTTTAAAAGAATTTTTTCTTGCCTCTATATGAGGCGTGTATTTTTTAAAGATTTTTTTTTGGCCTCTATATGAGGCGTGGATTTTTTAAATAATTTTTTCTCGACTCTATATAAGGCGTGGATTTTTTAAATAAGTTTTTCTCGACTCTATATATGGCGTGGATTTTTTAAATAATTTTTTCTGGCCTCTATATGAGGCGTGGATTTTATAAATAATTTTTTATGGTCCCTATATGAGGCGTGGATTTTTAAAACAATTTTTTACCGACTCTATACAAGGCGTGGATTTTTAAAATAATTTTTTACCGACTCTATACAAGGCGTGGATTTTTAAAATAATTTTTTCTGGCCTCTATATGAGGCGTGGATTTTTTAAATAATTTTTTCTCAACTCTATATGAGGCGTGGATTTTTTAAATAATTTTTTCTGGCCTCTATATGAGGCCTGGATTTTTTAAATAATTTTTTCTGGCCTCTATATGAGGCGTTGATTTTTTAAATAATTTTTTCTGGCCTCTATATGAGGCGTGGATTTTTTAAATATTTTTTTCTGGCCTCTATATGAGGCTTGGATTTTTTAAATAATTTTTTCAAGCACCTATATGAGGCTTGGATTTTTTAAATAATTTGTTCTGGCCTCTATATGAGGCGTGGATTTTTTAAATAATTTTTTCTGGCCTCTATATGAGGCGTGGATTTTTTAAATAATTTTTTCTGGCCTCTATATGAGGCGTGGATTTTTTAAATAATTTTTTCTGGCCTCTATATGAGGCGTGGATTTTTTAAATAATTTTTTCTGGCCTATATATGAGGCGTGGATTTTATAAATGATTTTTTCTGGACTCTATATGAGGCGTGGATTTTTTAAATAATTTTTTTCTGGACTCTATATAAGGCGTGGATTTTTTAAATAATTTTTTTCTGGACTCTATATAAGGCGTGGATTTTTTAAATATTTTTTTTCTGGACTCTATATAATGCGTTGATTTTTTAAACAATTTTTTCTGGACTCTATATAAGGCGTGGATTTTTTAAATAATTTTTTTCTGGACTCTATATAAGGCGTGGATTTTTTAAATAATTTTTTTCTGGACTCTATATAAGGCGTGGATTTTTTAAATAATTTTTTTCTGGACTCTATATAAGGCGTGGATTTTTTAAATAATTTTTTTCTGGACTCTATATAAGGCGTGGATTTTTTAAATAATTTTTTTCTGGACTCTATATAAGGCGTGGATTTTTTAAATAATTTTTTTCTGGACTCTATATAAGGCGTGGATTTTTTAAATAATTTTTTTCTGGACTCTATATAAGGCGTGGATTTTTTAAATAATTTTTTTCTGGACTCTATATAAGGCGTGGATTTTTTAAATAATTTTTTTCTGGACTCTATATAAGGCGTGGATTTTTTAAATAATTTTTTTCTGGACTCTATATAAGGCGTGGATTTTTTAAATAATTTTTTCTGGCCTCTATATGAGGCGTGGATTTTTAAAAGAATTTTTTCTGGCCTCTATATGAGGCGTGGATTTTTAAAAGAATTTTTTCTGGCCTCTATATGAGGCGTGGATTTTTAAAAGAATTTTTTCTGGCCTCTATATGAGGCGTGGATTTTTAAAAGATTTTTTTGGCCTCTATATGAGGCGTGGATTTTTAAAAGATTTTTTTCTGGCCTCTATATGAGGCGTGGATTTTTAAAAGATTTTTGTTCTGGCCTCTATATGAGGCGTGGATTTTTAAAAGATTTTTTTCTGGCCTCTATATGAGGCGTGGATTTTTAAAAGATTTTTTTCTGGCCTCTATATGAGGCATGGATTTTTAAAAGAATTTTTTCTGGCCTCTATATGAGGCGTGGATTTTTAAAAGAATTTTTTCTGGCCTCTATATGAGGCGTGGATTTTTAAAAGAATTTTTTCTGGCCTCTATATGAGGCGTGGATTTTTAAAAGAATTTTTTCTGGCCTCTATATGAGGCGTGGATTTTTAAAAGAATTTTTTCTGGCCTCTACATGAGGCGTGGATTTTTAAAAGAATTTTTTCTGGCCTCTATATGAGGCGTGGATTTTTAAAAGAATTATTTCTGGCCTCTACATGAGGCGTGGATTTTTAAAAGAAGTTTTTCTGGCCTCTATATGAGGCGTGAATTTTTAAAAGAAGTTTTTCTGGCCTTTATATGAGGCGTGGATTTTTAAAAGAAGTTTTTCTGGCCTTTATATGAGGCGTGGATTTTTAAAAGAATTTTTTCTGGCCTCTATATGAGGCGTGGATTTTTAAAAGAATTTTTTCTGGCCTCTATATGAGGCGTGGATTTTTAAAAGAATTTTTTCTGGCCTCTACATGAGGCGTGGATTTTTAAAAGAATTTTTTCTGGCCTCTACATGAGGCGTGGATTTTTAAAAGATTTTTTTCTGGCCTTTGGTCAGATATAGAAGTTATCTAAATCTGAATCGATTTCAGGAAACTAACACATCATTCTAGACTTAATTTAGTGCAAATCGAAAGATATATAGGGACATTGGTGCACCATTTACCTTAAATCGGACGAAAATATATATGGGAGCTATATCCAAATCTGATCCCATTTCCAAGAAACTTAACACACATCATTCTAGTTTTAATTCAGCACGCTATGCCAAATTTCGTGCAAATCGAAAGATACATATGGACTTTGGTGCGCCATTTACATTAAATCGGACGAAAATATATATGAGCCGATTTTTCCCAATTTCAATAGGGTTCGTCCTTGGGCCAAATAAGTGACCTATGCCAAATTTCATCTAATTCGGATTATTAATGCGACTTGTACTTTGTTTACAATTTAACATCGACAGACACACATACGGACATGCATAAATCGACTCAGAAAGTGATTCTATGCATATTCTCAAAAGGAACCATGTGCCTATCTCGTTTCCTTTTGCCTGTTAAAATCATATGCACAGTCATAATAGTCATAATAGCCTGTACCACAGCGTGGTGAAGGGTATAAAAAGGCGGAACACCCAATACGTAACAGGAAAAAGGCAACAAAAATTTTGTTGACTGAGAGTCAAATCTATCATTTCAAGAGGATTAATAGCAAACCTTATTTTTATGGGAAAAACATGAATATGTAATATATTCCAAGCACCTTATGTGCGGATCAGAAAGAAATCAAAGCCAAATCCTATAGGGAGCCCAAAAAATCAACGCCTAATATAAAGTCGAGAAAAAAATTATTTAAAAAATCCACGCCTTATATGGAGGCCAAAAAAAGATCTTTAAAAAATCCACGCCTTATATGGACCCAAGAAAAACAAATATTTAAAAACCAATGAGCGGAGCAGTATAGTCGGACGGCGCCGACCATATGATACCCTACACAACTTCCACGAAAATCAAACTTTCGCTATATTTGAACCCTCAGGACAGCCCATCCAATTACTTGTCCAGATTCCCATCACCGTGGGTTGTTTTGTGATGTTCGGCTTTTAATTGTAGCCTATGGATCGACTCAAAAAAAAAAAAAGAAAAAATAAAACAGTGAGCGGAGCAGTATAGTCGGACGGGGCCGACCATATGATACCCTACACAACTTCCACGAAAATCTAACATAGATTCCCTTCACGGTGGGTTGGGTTGTGATGTTCGGCTTTCAATTGTGGCCAATAGATCGACTCGAATAAAAACACCAAAACTTAAGTTTTCGGTCTAATTCATCCCAAAATTAGTATCTGATCATCACCGAAAATTATAGCCGTAGTAGTTGACCATACCTGGATCCTCATGGAAAATTTAAAAGCGATCAGCGCTATATTTCTGCCCTCTAGTGTGGTAATGGGTTACTGAATACTATATCAATACGTAAGCACCTGTAAATAGTTAGGTGTATCTCCCACATCCGAGTACATACGACAATATAATTGGTATCAATTTAAAGGTCAACCACTCCTCTTGGATATAATATCAACATCTCGGGTCGATGTCCTTCAGGAGTAAACATATATGCCATAGTAAACATATGCGCCATAGTCGGGGTTCATTTGACCCGCTAAATATTGACCAATCTTTATCAAAGCATGCATGCTTATTCTCTGCCCCGAT